AGCTTCTGGACGTCTTATTAGTGGAGGATCTGATCTCCGTTGCCGACCTGCATCGATATGATGACTAGGTCCAATCATTGCACCACCATCAGCTTGTCATCTTGACTTTTTGTGATCCTTGAATTTGTACCTGCGCTAGTTTGACCTAGACTAACAGACCACTTGGATGAAATGTGCTCATGATATCTGACAGTTCACGGCGCAGCATGGGCTGAATACGCGGGATTGAGGGTTAGGCGGTGGTATATAAGATGAGGTCTGCGTCCCGATATTCTGGTTCTTGGACACTCGAGCACTGTCTTCTCATTCATTCACTTCATTCATTCTTTAGAATTACATACACTCTCTTTCAAACAGTCATTCTTTTAACAAAACAACTTTTGCAACAATGCGATCTTACACTCTTCTCGCCCTGGCCGGCCCTCTCGCCGTGAGTGCTGCTTCTGGAAGCGGTCACTCTACTCGATACTGGGATTGCTGCAAGCCTTCTTGCTCTTGGAGTGGAAAGGCTGCTGTCAATGCCCCTGCTTTAACTTGTGATAAGAACGACAACCCCATCTCCAACACCAACGCTGTCAACGGCTGTGAGGGTGGTGGTTCTGCTTATGCTTGCACCAACTACTCTCCTTGGGCTGTCAACGATGATCTTGCCTACGGTTTCGCTGCTACCAAGATCTCCGGTGGCTCCGAGGCTAGCTGGTGCTGTGCTTGCTATGCGTCAGTCTTCTTTACACATAGATCTTTACAACACGCTGACTCTTTCTAGTTTGACCTTCACTTCTGGTCCCGTCAAGGGCAAGAAGATGGTCGTCCAGTCCACCAACACTGGAGGTGATCTTGGCGATAACCACTTCGATCTCATGATGCCTGGTGGTGGTGTCGGTATCTTCGACGGCTGCACCTCTGAGTTCGGCAAGGCCCTCGGCGGTGCCCAGTACGGCGGTATCTCCTCCCGAAGCGAATGTGATAGCTTCCCTGAACTTCTCAAGGATGGTTGCCACTGGCGATTTGACTGGTTCGAGAACGCCGACAACCCTGACTTCACCTTTGAGCAGGTCCAGTGCCCCAAGGCTCTCCTCGACATCAGTGGATGTAAGCGTGATGACGACTCTAGCTTCCCTGCCTTTAAGGGTGATACCTCGGCCAGTAAGCCCCAGCCCTCCAGCTCCGCTAAGAAGACCACCTCCGCTGCTGCTGCCGCTCAGCCCCAGAAGACCAAGGATTCCGCTCCTGTTGTCCAGAAGTCCTCCACCAAGGCTGCCGAGAAACCCGAGCCTACTAAGCCTGCTGCGAAGCCCCAGACCGACAAGCCTGTCGCCACCAAGCCTGCTGCTACCAAGCCCGTTCAACCTGTCAACAAGCCCAAGACAACCCAAAAGGTCCGTGGAACTAAAACCCGAGGAAGCTGCCCGGCCAAGACTGACGCTACCGCCAAGGCCTCCACTGTCCCTGCTTACTATCAGTGTGGTGGTTCCAAGTCCGCTTATCCCAACGGCAACCTCGCTTGCGCTACTGGAAGCAAGTGTGTCAAGCAGAACGAGTACTACTCTCAGTGCATCCCCAACTAAATGGTAGATCCATCGGTTGTGGAAGAGACCATAAAACGTCTCAGAAGGGATCCTCTCATGAGCAGGTTTGTCATTGTATAGCATGGCATCCTGGACCAGGTGTTCGACCCTTGTTGTACATATTAGATCTTCACTGTATATATTTAGACACATAGGTAGCCTTTTGTCAGCGACAAACTGGCTGTAAAAGACTTGGCAGGCTTGTTCAATACTGATCCAGTTGCTTCCATACCTTCGAGCCATCTCCAAAAACGCTTAGACTTGTCTCATTACATAAATCAAGGGCTGGAATTAACTCGAACAATTTTACGCATTTGCTGATGATGAATCAAAAGCACTCGAACATAAAAACTACCGACGGAGCCGCAACCTATATCCAGCTGGAAGTACGCTGATGATTACGTATCCATAAACTCGACAAGGATTACACGCAACCTTTCTGTGTCTACGTAGAAGTAGGATGATTGCCACGACAGATACATTTATATGGTCCCTCAAAGCTTTATTACAATCAAGAATAACACATCGCCAGAAGTCGTACCTAAGTAACACTGCAACCTCCAGGCACAAGCATATATAAGTCGCATTAATAGAACTTAGCTGAGTCAAGTCGTTCACTTTCGATTGGTAATATACTGTGCGTTTTATATTTTGCACGAGTGTGCATCACTTGGCTTTCCATCACATAAATAACATCAGTCTTAGTCAAATTTGTGTCATAACGTCGTGAGTCTTGTTTTTGTATCCAAATATCTATCTACACCGATCCGCTGTACGGATATTGAATCTTGGGTATCCGCAATTTATAAGACAGTGAAAACGGAAACAAGACAAAGCTGGGTTCAGTCCAGCAAACAACCGTCAAGCCAACCAGAGAGACCAGTCTCAAGACAATCAATGGTCGTTCACACTCACATGGGTGAGGGTGAGAAGAAATGAAAAAAGTGCCCAAGCAAGGACTGGCAGAAGAAGTTCGCAAGAGGGTTTGTAGAATTGGTAGTTACGCGGGCAACTAGTTTGTGGTTTCGTAGACGGCTACGTAGGCTACCTCCATCATGTTCTTGTAGCCGACTTCGGTGGCTTTGTTAGGGTTGCCCTGCATAACGCCATTAGTTTTCTGATACCTTGAAACACTAAGAATTGTTGGAACTTACAGGCCAGGTTCCGCCAACAGCGACATTGAGGAGAATGTACATAGGAGAATGAGCCAGAGTAGCCCAAGTACCCTCATCGTTGAGCGTCTTGCCCGAAATACTGTGGAAGGGCTCTCCGTCAAGCAGCCAGGTGATCTTCTCATCCTGCCAGTTGCTAGCCCGTCGGTCGATAACCACAGACCAGGCATGGAACTCGTTATCCGGAATAGTAACCCGCTGTCCAAGCCCCTCGGGCTCATTGCAAGGATCGCCGCCCTCATGACCACAGTGAACAGTGCCAAAACCAGTCAAATCGCCGTTAACTCTCTCGAAAATGTCGATCTCGCCACAAAGAGGCCATCCAGTTCCGTGGCGGAGTGCATCGCCGAGCATCCAAAATGCAGGCCAGATACCCTGCTTACGAGCTGAATCACCCATTCGGATACTAGCCTCTACACGAAGAGCTTTGTTCTTGTCTGCGTGGAAAGCCTTCTTGGACTCGAGACGTCCAGAAGTCCATTCGCCCTTCCCATCCTTCCAGGGAACGAGCTGCAGAGTGTCACCGCCGGAGAGTTGGATGTTTTTGTTGGAGGTGGAATACACCTGAAGTTCGTTGTTGGAATTGATGTTGAGGGCCGTGTTCCAGTTGTTTGTCTTGGGTGAACAGCCTTGACACCCGGTGAACTCGTCTTTCCAGATGAGTTTGAGGTCTGGGCGGGTTGGTGCGCTAGTAGCTGAGACCAGAGAGGCGAGGCCGGCGATGATGGGGATGAAGTTTCGCATCGTGTAAGTCGGAGTGGAACTGATCGAAACTAAAAAGTGTCTTTGATACTGAAATGTATATAAAGGAGTGGAAGAGAACAAATGTCACAGGTAAAGGAATGTTATGCCTCCAGGGCTAAAAGAATGAAACCGGAGAAGGCGATGTATATAAAAGGAACGAAAGAAGCTTGAGATACACGTATCTCGAAAGCAAAGAGGTCAGAAAAGAACGTCAAGACACAAAAAGAAAGAGAGGTGTGGAGAGGAAGACAAGATGAGTTACATGCGCATTGTTCTATATATACGACTCTTGTGAGTGGAGTCCTCCATCTTAGGGGCGACAGAAACGAGATGTGAGGACCGGATGTTTCTTATATGCCTCGGGGCTTAGTTGCCCAAAGGGGCATGGAGAACATGGGGTAGAATGTTGTTGCATGAATGAAAGGCTGGACGGGCGGGTGATGTTCAGGGACGGGAGGAGCATGACTGGATGATTTGACGTGATGGGTTTATGGGAATGGAGCCAACACTTCGGGATAGGTCCGCCACAAAACGAGAGGGCAGGGGTCAAAGAACGCGCTATGTTTTGAAGATTTGTTCTCGAGTTGATTCGTTATTGAGGAGGAGTTTTGATATAGAGCTAGAGAGGCCAAGTCTGGAGTTGATACTGCAGGATACAATATCGCCAACCATGAGATGCCAAGATCGTATTGTACAATGCATTCATGCCTGATGTTGTACAGGATAATGCACTCTTGACAACCTCAAGACAACTTGCTTCACAGCAAACGTGCGTGGTAGCGTATGAACCGGAGCTAACTAGTGCATCGGAAATAAAACCAGGGGTCAAGAAAATATGGATATCATTTTCGCTTTCACTGACCAATATGAACCCCAGACCACTCATACCAGACAAGAAGTTCATCTCCGAAAAGAAAAGACTCTTTTCTTTTGTAAAATTGTTTATGAAGATATCGTGTAGGTGAGCGCTTACTGGTGATGGACATGGATGGTGCTTGGTTCTTGGCAGGTACATGAAACAAAAATGTGAGAATCATTAACCAACGAGGAAAAGAAGCCTACGCGGCTCAAGAAAGGAGGTGTCAGGGATGAAGAGACTAACAAGGACATGCTACAGTCTGATCTTGAACATGTTGAAGATACGATATTATGCATATTCAGCTCAATGCTGAATATTGTAGTCATTCCTGTAGTTATATTCTTAGAGAATCATGCAGGTGGTTATTCGTATTGCGATTGTTCATTGCCATTTTGAGAAAGGTGCATCTCGGCTACCGTCAGACAATCAGTTAGAGTTTATGCTACTGTCAATCATTAAGAAGATCTACGATTCGGAAAGTCAAATGTTCAGAGCAGTGGGGGTTTTACTGAGGCTTGGCTTTTTGGTAGTGTCAAGACTGGTAATTAAATTTCCGACACTGTGTGTTTCACGATTTGACAGGTGAGGCCAGTCACAGCCTCAATTGACAGCTCACGGCCCAGCAACGTGAATGGCCATGCAGTCAAATAAGAAGTGGTTGTTTCAAATATCTCTGTTTGAGTAAGTGATAAAAAAAAATACTTATCCAGCCATGATCAAGTACATGTAACTAGAGATGACTGATCGCTTGTAGATTTGCCACGTCCAATTCTCGGATATCTATCATCAAGCAAGATCTTGCCAGTCAACCGTCTATGCCAGCGTCATTCGCTTCTTCCCCCACTGATCTACTACCATATCAAGTCTCAATATTATCCCCATATTATAGCATAAGAGCTGGTTCATCCCTCTTCGCGAAACAGCATCCAAGGCCTGGGTCCTGCAGCCAAGCACCATGATTAATGCTCACAGCACAGGGTAACCAGGTTAAAGGGCTTCAGCTATCGTATCCGTGCATGATCACGCCTGAAACTAGCCATTTCAGCTCATTGAACGCGGCACCTGAATCTCCAAAATATGGTGTTTCTGTATTTAGAACACTTCAATCAGCAGACATCTGCAATGGTTCCAGATCGCCAAGCCTCTCGTTAAGCTGCACAATCGTCTTCTCAAAGACCCGCGCCGCATCGAGTTGCAGCATCATCTCATCATCGTCCTCCACGCTTCCCCATCCCTTGATTCCAGGCTCTTCCGCGTCTGTGTCGGTATCTGTCTCTGCTTCTTCATCTTCTTCGTCCTCTTCAGCTGGATCTCGCATTACTTCTACCATCAAGACGCGACATTGGTCTACTAAGCTTCGGCAGCGGATCATTTCTGTCGTTGTCATGCCGCCACGTAGTCCATTCTCAAAACCGGGTAATGTCTCGTGAGTTTCGATGTCTTGGCCTAAGAGAAGACTTGCGAAACAGTGATCTAGTTTGCGGAGTATTGCGAAAGATGCCTTTGGTGCTGGGGGGAATGAGCGGACATATCGTGTGAAGTCACTTGTGAGACGTAATAAGAAGGGTATTTGGAGCGATGCTGCGCGTTGTTAGTCATAGACCAAAAGACAGGCATGGGCTCTCAGTGACTCACGAGTGCCTGATTTCCACAAAATATTGATGATGCTATCGAGATCTCGACATACTTCACCAAATCTGTTATACCCCACCACCGTGTCGCCAGGTTCAGGGTTGCCAAACTTCTTAACATAGCGCCGCGTCACTAGCAGAAGCTGCTCCTCCGCATATCTTCGCACCATGAACTCTTTACTTGAGTTGGGCTTCAGGGCCTTTGTTCTTGGTGTAGGAAGACCTTGGATATTTGAGAATGATGAAGCTGATGAGGGCGCGGGTGAGGGTAAGCTTCCACCAGCGGGCGCTGGCAAGAAGCCACCTGGGCCTGGCGATTCCATGTTGAATGTATATGTTGTTCTGTGATTGAGGTTTGTTGTCTCGGTGCAAGGGTTGAGTAAGATGTGCAGTGAAGCACAAAGAGCGAACACCAGGCGACAACTTCAGTGGAGGCTGCTTTTTAGTCTTCACCAGAACGAAGTGACGGGCGAGCGTATTCACACTAAATTAGTTTTGAGGGTTGAAATTGAAGCTTGAAGGCAGAGAGATGACAAGTTTTCTGAAAGTTCTAAATGAAGTATGTAAACGCTGTTCGCTGACAAAGAGACTGGTTCCATTTACAATCGAGATAAGCTCGCGATAAAGAATGACGAAGGTGTTGGCGATACTCAGTCATGGTGGGGGTAAACTGCCGGATTCGGTACGTACTCGCTTTTTGCAGCGGAAGCTGGCCCAACATCAAGCGAGTTGAAATGCATGTTTAACCACAACTGAGACAATATTTCGAGAATTTTGGCCCAATTATACAAATGAGACTTTATGTGATGATCTTATTAATATCTTGATTAAAATAATTCTGCATTCCCATCTCTCCTGTTGGCTTTTGAACTTCCAGGTTGTCTCACAAGCGCGCGCGTCATGTGACTTTAGCCGCTATCGCGCGCTATCAGTGGAAAAGCTTCATTGGGAGTTGTACCCGAAAATTTCCCTCCAATTCGACGACCAGATCAACCACCACCACGCGTCCGCTTCTCCTCTCGACTCAGAGCTATCACGAAACGATAAACCTCATATACTCGACCATATAATCACAATGCCTCCCAAGCGCATCCAAGTTGAGCCTCGTGGTCGTCGTGCCCCCAAGGGCTTCATCGGCTCCACCTATGACGCTCTTACTTCTCCCGACAACGCCGCTGTCGTCCGCAGCATTGCCATCTTTGGTGTAAGTTTGGTTTTATGATCTTGAACTGGGGGTGAATTGGTACTGACCAAGGGAATAGGCTGCCGTGACATTCTTGTCTAGCTCTTGGGGCGAGATCCTTCTGCCTCCGTAAGTTGACCCAACATGCGAGCCTCGACGAACACAAACTGATTCCTGAACAGCCAGTAAATGACGCCGCAACGATACGCGATCAAGGATTTGGGAAAGAAGGAGAGAAGTCATGAGTAGGGATTGCGCATCCCTCGTGAACTACATAATCGAAATACTTGTACATTAGTTGGCGTCAGTGTACGTTTAGACACGATGGGATTTCAAGGTTGGCCTGTGCCTGACTTGGGCATTATGATATGGGCTGTATAGAAATCGACATGGCCGTTTAGGCTGGGGTTGGAAATGATAAGACGTCTCCCCTACTCCTGTTTGGCTCCTGAGGCTGGGTCGTATACTGTGAAGACTCGCCTTTGTTATGCTAATTACAACAGACTGTCAGAATTATTTCTGAAGACTTCCGAGATGCGATGCGATGCGATGCATTGGTATGTGCATTGTCGGCATCGCGCCTTCCTTGCTGGTTATACGATTAGGAAAGTGCGCTCCTTCCATCTTTGACAATGGCCTTCCATTCAGATCCAGCTACCACTTCGATCATCTCTGTCGTTTCTGCAATGTTGTTCCAGGCAGATTCATCCTCATCTTTTGAACAGACTTTGACGGCATCGACATTTGACACTTTCTCTTGATATTATACCATCAAGACGTGATCTTCATCAGTATCACAGCCTCACTCGTCTTCCAAAACCGCCAACATGAGCACGCCCTCGTCTTCTCGCAAGAATTCACCACGCAAGTTCGTCTCCGAAAGCTCAGATACTCACAGTTTGACGAGCAGCAAGTTCGCCCAGCTTCTGTCCAAGTTTGAAGTCATTGAAGCAGTCTCTTTCGTTGGCAGCCCTCCTCTTACTTCATCAAAGACAAAGCCTGTCTCTGCCATCAAGGTAACATCTACAATTGAGCAAACTTCATCAAGCGCCTCGAAGCCATCATCTCATGCATCAACGAGAATACGAGAAAGAGGCTCAACGGGTTCCAGCCATGTCTCATCCGGTCGTTTCGTTCCTTCAAGCCAGGAACCCCCGCGTGCACGTCGAGTAAAAACCTTTGGTGCCCAGTCGCCTGTGATCTCGACTAGAAATGTGGATTCAAGGGCAAGGCACAAGTCTGTGGCAGAGAGAAGAATAATGTTTGAGGCTGCAGACCAACAGGCGCGTAAGTGTTTCGGGGTCTATCTTTTGGAGGACAACACTGACTGTCCGATAGAAATTGAAGCCTCTAGTCCCACCCGTACTTCTATTCCTCGTTCGCCGTCGAAGCTGGCTCATTCCAAAAGTTGGCAATCGATCAAGACAAGACGGTCAGCCGCAGAACCACGACCAGAGGATGCTCCCACAACACCGAACCCAAACCATGCTGCAAAGACCTTCTCCCTCACTTCTCATACTGTCCCTTCGCCTCGAACACTTTTGGCTTCTGATGATCCTTTTGGCTCATGGCGATCTCCTCTGAATCGACCAGATGACTCATGGACTTCTTTCAAGCGTAGCAGCCTCGTCATGAGTGCGCCTGATGCGAGTCCAAGCTACATCAAGTCTCAGTACACCGAATTGACACCAAAATCTGTGCAGGCGGTATCCACGAGTCGAATCAAGCTTGATGATGTTCGTGATGATACTTTTGTTGAAAAGAACAACGTCACCATCGAAGAGACCCGACATAATGGTTGGGTGCGAAATGCTCGCAAGATAGCGTCTTCATTGTCAAATACAGCCTCTGCAGGAAGCTCAAGCCTTCAAAGAAAATCCCGTGGATCCCATGATGCTCCTAGCCAAGCTCCGAGCAATACCAGCGGTCTCATCTCTTTCAGATTTGCGAGAGAAAGTACCCCAAGTCGCTCAAGCCTACCACGCTCTAGAATTTCCAATCTCAGAAGACAGTTTGATCAGTTGAGGGATCAGCCAGTGGCCTCTGTTGCTCCTCTTGAAACCAAACAGCGCGAGTCAATCCTTACCAAGAACGAGGCGCCCAACTCGCCATCGAGGCGTCCTCTTCTGCTGTACTCCGATTCTTCGGAGTCCGAAATATTTAATGTACCGAAATCCAGGTCGAAAAGTTATGCTCCTTGTTGGAGTCGGGCGGCGGTGGAAAGTCCACAAACTCCTGTCGGTCGGCGTAACACGGAGAAGTTCATTTCACCTTTGAAGCAAAAGATCGACCTGTTTGAGTCCCTCGATCGCCATGCTCCTTCGCTCAATTCTCCCCGTTCAATTGATGCTGGTAAGCAGTCGATTTCGAAAATCAATAAGCGAAAGAATTCTGTTGTTGGTCCTTTGAGAACCTTCAAGGGTACTCTGCGACGAATATCTACATCCTGTCGAAGGATACCCTCAGAATGGAGTACAACAAGCTCGAGAGATATCGGTGCCTCCCAATTTAGGGGCTCCGACGACGATACTGTGGTGCAGGATGATCAGGCTGTTGGATTCGCAGCCGATGAGCCGCTGTCGCCTCATTCAATCGATGCGATTCCCGGCCAGCCCGTTCTCGGCCAAACTTTCCTCACTAATGAAATCATCTCGCCTCTTTTACTGGAAAAAACATCATCTCTCCCTCAAAGTTCCATCACCCAAGCAGGCTTCAACACGGATGGCGAGGCTGGACTTAGTGTAGCGCCGCCTCCTTTGTTTGCAGAACCTCAAAGGCGGTTCTCTCACACCAAGCATGCCCTCTCCCGAGCGGCAAACCGGTTTTCTCTACCCGACATCGAAAAAGAACTTGAACTCATCGAGCTTCTTGAGGATAGTCATCAGCCTGTACCCGCACACAATCCATTTGTCTCCAAGGTGGTCTGCGAGTTGGAGCAACCTCGACCAGTGCGCGCGAACGAGCTGAAGCGACTTGTTAGTTTGTGCAAAGAAAAGGTCAGAAAAATTTCAGCAGGCCGCAGCGAGTAGATAAATGCCTCATCGCACAAGTTCCAGATGAAAGAGTAGGCTTGGGTATGTTATCTTGGTGCGACTCGGGCTTGGATGGTAGCTGTTATACAGTATATAGTGTCAATCCCTCACATCACATTCTGGCTGTCCTACCTGGCAACTGACAGCATACGACTCTGAACCTAACATTGGACATCACAGTAGACAAGGCAAAATTGGCAACCTGAATGTATTCACCGCTATCGTGCGCCTGAGCGCTTGTCCATCTTTCAACTGAAGAGGAAGCAAGGCATGGGTAGCATCGTCCTTGATTAAAAGTCATCGGAGTCAAAAGAGATACCATAAACTAAAGAAAGTAAGATGCGAGTTATCTCAAGCATCATTAACCGCATTGGGTATGAAAGCTGGTCGCTAAAAGCAGTAACATGAAGAAAAGCAACTTGTGCCGATACGCCGCGCTGGAAGGTTTGTTTTGGTCGAAAACATGAACGTGTAATACCATTTCCCAAAAGCAAATTTTGTGTAAGCTGAAAGGGGAGGCCTAGATTCGCTCTTCACGTTGCAAGAAGGCTTTGTCAACCCTGACATGATCACCGTCGATCTTGCCGAGCTCCAAATCCTCGGGGTTAATGTGATCGCGAGATGAAGTACCGGCTTCACAGCGGGCGTACACGGAGACGTGAGGTCTGACTGTGGCGCCGCTGCGGTTGGTGCTGAAGCTAGGTGCCTTGAAGCCAGTGAAGGAACTGGGGCCGCTGACGCCGTAGCGAATGCCGCTTGAGGCGCCGGAGGAGTGGGCGCTGTTGGTGTTGCTGGCGGCGATGCGTTGCGCGGCGAGGGTGCCGAGGGGGAGGATGACGGCGACGGAGGAGAGGGTGAGGGATGCTGCTTCGAAGTCGACGAAGTGAGCCCATTCAAGAGAGGCGAAGATGACTGTGGATGGTTAGTGAGTGGGTTCTTGAGGGTTGGGAGGGAGAGATATACCTGGGATGATCATCAAGATACCGTTGGTCATGACGAGGACCTCCATGGGGGTGAGTGTCTTGTAAGATGGTAGGATACCACGGTTGGAGATGAGATGCCAGATGAGCTTGATGTTGAAGATAGCACACCACCATGAGATGGAAGACACATTCATGATGACTGTCCACTTGATGAGCCAGAGCATGTTCCACGGCGGTATGGTAGCGAGGACTGCGTTGTTCTGAACGACCGTGAAAGCAATTCTCACACAGATTGTCATGAGAGAAATGACGAGTGAAAGACCAGCGATGATGTACTTCCACATATTAGGCCACAGTCTAACCATCGTCCAAGCCTGGCTCATGAGCATCGTCTCAATTGAGATGACGAGCAAGAGCGACATGATATTGGCAGCGATGGCTGGGGCATAGCCACTGCGAGGAATATGACTAAAGTCGTGAGACCAGAAGGGATAAAAGTCGGCGAACTTGGAGATGTTCCAGATACACAGAAGAACCATTCTACATGAGCAGATGACAAGACTGATTATCTGAAGAGCGTTGAACGGTCTTCGGAACTTGGACAGCGGGACCATGACGAGGAGAACAACGAGCATGACGAGACAGGCGCCGAGTTGTGTGGCATAGTTGATGACGGTGTTGACCATCATACGACGCATTTCGTCAACGAGCATCACGGGGATGCTGATGGTTGTGTTTCCATCTGCTGCTAAGAACGTGACGTTCTGCGTAAACGGATCGAAGGTCGACATTGCGTGTGATATTGAAAGAGTGAAGAGAAAAGGTTGTTGGCAGAGATCGATCTCAACGTGGCAAAGATGGATAGTTCACAAGCGAACGGAGAAGTAAGAGGTCTGAGCTCTCAAGATTTATAAGAGAGAGAAAATCAAGTGAAGTGAGAGGGATGTCTTGTATAACAAGCAGTAGTAACGTTGAAGAGAATGAGAAAGTGGCAACATGGTTAAACAGATCACAGAAAAGCCAGGCGAGAACGGTCTTGAAGACAAACAGTTAAGCTAGTAAGCAATGTTAGATATTGTCAGCGGTAAGAAGAATGTGAGCACTGCAGGTCAAGGAACAGGATTTGTATTCAAAGGGTGTTATCACATCAACTAAGAATGCCAAGGTCGGTGGGGTGAGGTTGGTCTTAGTATTGTTCTTGCATTTCGTGGCGTTTGAGGCTTAGTATTGTTCTTTGAGCCCGCTAGACTTGTTCGGTATAAGAGATCGATCCGTGCATATCTTGACAGGCCAAGAGCTAACGGTCCAAGCGACGGATTCGTTTCCCATTCCCGTGTTCCTGACTCCGTGCACGCCAATTGCCGTCATGGATGGGAGTGGATTTTGATATCATGGGGTTATCCGCTTTGGTCTCGATCCTTAGACTTTAATCTGCCCAGTCTTTCTCAACCGTATCGGGAGCTATACGCCCGTATCGATGGCTTGAGATCACAAGATAGACTTCACGGGCATCCAGCTAGCCGGTCGTCTTGATCGTTTGGCTTCGTTTCAAAAGTATGTTGTAATCCGCCTCTTACTTGTCGTGTTTTTCCCAGTGCCTGGCCACGTACTGCTACTCCATGCACGATGCCAATCCTGGAGCTCTTCCCAGCTGCCAGCTGTAAGAACAATACTAAACCCCCGCTTGGCAAGGGAGCTGCATCAATCCAAATCTCGTATGGTATCCCGTCATGGGGTCAGGCCCATTCCTTGCCCAATCTTTCGCACAAGTGCTTTTTTCAGATACCATTCTCTAGCAAGAGTTCTCGTCGTCTTGGCAAATACTGCTGGTGTAATGCGGCCGCGCTCGACAGCCCGTCCAAGCATGAATATGGCGTCACCTATAGCTCTCTCCTCTGCCACTAGTGTGTATAGCTGGTTTGCGACTACTGTAGGAGCTACAAGGAGCTCATCAACATCCGGAACAGGGTGGCTCTTGGATCCTTCGATCACTGCATCTGCTTTATGAAGAGCATCGTGTAGAATATTAGAGTTTGACGTCAAGACATTCGACAATTGTGTCAATTGGCCACCTTCAGCTTGGAAGGCTGGTATCGCTGACAGCATTGCTGTTCTTTGTGCTTGCAAACCAGCCATGCTTGAGTCGTTTTGCTGCCGGCTGCGCATCCTGATCGAGTACAGTGTCTGAGCTAACTGTCGCAACAACGCATCCTTTTCGGGATTGGGCGGGATAGGAGGAGCCGCTACCGTAGTATTTGGCAAAGTTAACTCTAATGGCTCATCAAGCAGATCAGGAGGTGGTGGTGGTTTTGCAGGGCTTTGTGGTGGTGGAGCTGCCTGAGCCATCCATGCCGGAGGTTGCGGAGGCTGTTGATATTGCTGATGCTGTGGTGGCATTTGCCATTGTTGTTGTGATGGAGGCGCAAACGACTGGGTATCATTCATGTATCCGGGTTGCGCAGCCATTGGGGGCCCAGCAGGCGGTATGTGACGAGTCGCATACTGCTCCTGAGGGCGAGGCAATCTCGGATCCTGTGCATTTGGACTTCCAACTTGAGGTGGCAGGGGAGGAGCTGAGTCGTACCGTGACATGCGGTTAGACTGTGCCGGAGAGCGTCCCGGGATTGGAGGTAGAGGTGGTCCATTTTGAGATTGTGTCTGCGCAGGTGATGTACTCTGAGGGCCCTTCGGGGGTGGTGGAGGAGGGCGCGGCTGTTCTGAGGGATGCGGATCTTGAGTTGCAGGCCGCGAAGTTGATCCCATGCCAGGAGGTAGAGGCGGCACGGGGGGAGGTGTCGGATTAGCTTGAGCTGGAGGTGGTCGAGCCTGTTGTTGCCGAGCTACGACTGGAGGTTCTTTTGCGAAGATATCGGTTAGGATGTTGAGGAAGTCCCGAAGGTTAGATTTCTGATTAACTTGTCAGCAACGGAACATCACAACGTAGCTGTGGCTTGGGGATAACATGCATCCCAGAATTCAGCCCATCCCACCAAGTATGGATGATATACCAGACCCTGCGGATCGATATGCTGTCCCGGTCGAATCATCATGGTCTCGGTCGGCACAACGTAAATCATGGGTGGCTCTCGCGGATAAGCGTGTGGCACCCATATCGAAATGGGGAAACGGTATGTCGTTCCGCGAAAATTAACAGGGAGAGTCCCCGACAGATGAAGTAACAAGGCATTGGCGCCATTTGAGAACGCTGGTGAGGGTCAATATCCGAATGCGACAAGCTGGAGTTTAGAGCGCAAGCTGACTGATAGCTCTATGCGAACGTACTGTGCACATCGGTTCGAGGCGATAGCGAGGGGAATCGGTCGAGAGCCTGCGCGACATCGTTGTAGGCACGGTTTACATCGTGATACTCCTGTAGCGCGTCAAGTCAGCTCTTTGAACTTGGCGAACGAGCGGGGGGATAGAGGAGAGGAGATACGTACGCTTGTGAGAACGCTGTAGAGCCAGTTCAGCACATGCTGCTGGACAGGCATTGTGTTATTGGCCCAGGTATATGGGTTTATGTTGAGATATAAAGGGAAGATGGAGTTATTCACATCTGAGGTTGACCTTGAAGGTCGTCGTAGCTTGGTCTGGTGTTGGTGGTTCGTGCGTCTTCCATGTTGGACCTCATGCAATCGACGTAATGGGGTACGTACCGTGCACCTTCCTAAAATCGACCCGAGCCGCGGATAGTGGGGGTGGGGGTTTTAGATCTTGAACACCAACTGAAGCAATTCTTAAGTGGAAGATAGTGAGTGAGTAGAAGTACAGGTTTATCCTGATTTCTCCGAAATATCGAAAAGTCAGACTTTGTTACCTAATCTGTTTAAAATGACGTTGCTCAACCTCATCAGTTCTTAATCGAGGTCGAAGAGGTTACGTTAAAGGAGTCATGATCTGGATAACCTCTGTCTCATAACAATTAAGTTTCGGGTGGTTGAAGCCATAACATGTCGCTTTCCACCAACACGGCTGAAACATATCTGAAAAATGACCACTTGGCCGTTGGCGACTCAACCACCAACAGCGCAAGATTCTATTAAATAAGAATTAGTTGTGTGATCTTCGCGCCGGAAATAAAAACCGAGACATTTCCCTGCAGCTGTAGGGTAACAGAAATCAACCATTCAGAGTCTCAATTCTAACTCAACAACACCCTTCCCAAACCTACGAGACGCATAAACCGCATCGATTAATAATGCCCTCCCATCAACGTTACAAAACTACCAAATCATCAAAAGTCACATATCACATGTAAATTACAAATCCAAGTATTCATCATCTCATCGGCCGAAGACGGAGTTCAGATCCGGCTTCACGTCCGCAGACAACCCGGTCCTTCCGCAACCTCTTTGGCATTTATAAGTTACAAATCAAGGGAAAAACTCATTATGCGCGCTAATTAAATCAATGTGGCGTCTAGAACCCTCCCTCTTACGGTGGTTCCATTTTCTTCGCAACTGTCCACTCATCCGAATCAGCCAATCATGCTCTCTGCTCGACCATTTCGCCGCAGAAACTAGCACGAGAAAACATAGGAAGAGTCATTTACAAACCTCGTAGTCTATCCTCTATCCCCGGATTTTTTTCATCTGTCTCTTTTAACATTCTCCATCATATCCATTACTTTACAACTACCGGCCTTGGCTTCAACTACCCCAGAGTTTTCAAGGCGCCGTTGTTCTTTATCCTCTTCTGATCTGATCCTTCCGGAGCGGCCCCACTATTCCGTCTCCGGTTCCCGGAACACGGCTCTTTCGCATCTGCTGATTCTCTGTTTCAGCCTGTAACTTCTCCTCTTCACAACTCTCAACAACTCCTAGAGGGAATCTTCATTCAAAATGCTTCCCTCTATTCCTGTCCTAGCCGAGTACGGTATCTCGCCAACTCACGGCTTCCTCCCGGATACTCTTCCCTTAACCCGTCTTCCGGATCCATACTACAACAAATGGGAAGCAATCGCCGCAAATCTCCAGGCTCTTATTCTCAGCCGCAGACTGCGCGGTGTTATCGACAGGTTACCAGTTCTGTCGACGATAGGCCTCGAACATGACGCTGAGTGGCGACGTGCCTATTCGCTACTAGGCTTCATGGCCCATGGATATATCTGGGGTGGTGATTCACCTTCAGATAGACTTCCCGCATCTATCTCTGTTCCGTTATTGGAGATTTCTGAGCATTTGGAAGTACCGCCTGTTGCCACGTATGCTGCTGTTTGTCTCTGGAACTTTAAACCCCTCTTTGTTGACGAGGATATCGATAACCTTGAGAATCTCGCCACTTTGAACACATATACTGGAGCTCTTGATGAATCGTGGTTTTATCTTGTTTCAGTTGCTATAGAGGCTCGTGGTGCGCCGATTATTCCTTTGATGTTGACGGCTATTGCTGCTGCTCGTCATGAAGACAGTGCTGCTGTCACCCGCTGTCTGCGCACTTTCGCAGAGCGTCTCACAGACTTGACAAATATTCTTCAGAGGATGCACGAGAGTTGTGATCCTACTATCTTTTATCACCGAATTCGACCGTTTCTTGCTGGAAGCAAGAACATGGCAGAGGCTGGCCTCCCCAATGGCGTCATTTACGAAGATGGTTCCGGCACTGAGAAATATCGACAATACAGCGGTGGAAGCAACGCTCAGAGCAGTCTGATCCAATTCTTCGATATTATTCTTGGAATCGAGCATCGCCCAACAGGCGAGTCTCGCGATCCTTCTTCTGATACCGATCGAGGCCGTGCTGCGAACCGACATAACTTCATCATGGAGATGAGACGCTACATGCCCGGTTCTCACGCCCGCTTCCTCAACGACGTATCCAACGTCGCCAACATCCGCGAATACGTCGAATCTCACCAATCAGACAAACAACTCTGCATCGCCTACGACGCTTGCTTGGCAATGCTAAGCGCATTCCGCGATAAACACATCGCCATCGTAACACGCTACATAATCAACCCCTCCAAACAAGTCCGCGCGCGCAGCCGCTCCCGCAGCCCCGAAGTAACCCGCAACAAGCTCAACCTCGCCGTAGCATCGCGCAAGAATAAAGAGAACCAGAAAGGTACAGGCGGTACAGCTCTTATCCCGTTCTTGAAGCAGGCGAGGGATGAGACGGGGGAGCCGGCGGTTGAGGAGTGGACGAGACGGTTTATGAAGAGGAAGATGCAGACGGAGGGGAGGAATGATTTCTTCTTGGGGAAGACGTTGCAGGATGATGTTAGTCTGACGGAGGATGTGGAGATTAAAGGTCTTGCTGGGTCGTGGACTATGGATGATGAGATTGGTGGTATTTGCCAATATTAGAGGGAGGTCCCCGTAATACAAAAAAATGATGATTGATGGGTAAATGAGATGGGTTGGTTAAGGGAGTAATTGGATAATTTATGGTAAATGCATATGATCAACTCATTGCAAGGATTGGGAATAGATGGACAATATTACAATGATAACGCAATCGCTTTTTTGTTATTAAGCTGAACTACGCTCATCATCTTGAGCAATGTTAAACAGAAGGACAATTTCCCTTCGACTTAGCCTTATGGTGGTTGCTGTTGCATGTCTTCGATGCCTAAATTTCTGATCATTGCCAGATCGCTAAACCTTCAAAAAAGCAAAACTAACCCGCCGAGTCCTGACTCTGACAGGATCAGTTACTGAGCTGTTCATACTCGTGTGTACCAACCGTCCCAAATGATAATCCCAAACGCCGAGACATTATGCTCTTGTCCCATGTACCAATACAAGGCATTGCCATGATAAACGCCAGGTCGTACTCATACTCATACTCATACAATACAAATCTTCAGTCATCAACACATCTCGCCACACACATTCTGCTTGCTTGCTTCGCTGATGCCACTTCGCTTCATTTGGGGGTTATGGGTGCGTATCAAATCATTTACAACTCTTCTCGCTGCATCTTGCGCGTCTGTCACTAACCACCACTGCAGCCTCCCCTCCTCATCCATCAGCCACGCCAAAACCACGAGCACAAGCAAACAGCCATCAGTCAGGAAGCCTCAGTACTTCAAAGGCTTCTGTCCTTACAGATTGTGTTGCTTGTCTGTTTGTTTGCCGTTCTGTAGGACGCCATCGTCCGCATCGAACAGATCATTCATGCGTGATTGCAATCAGAAATCCGTCGTCCACGAGAAACAGCATCCTATCCCCTATGATCATCGATCATCTGGCCTTCAGCCCACCACTCTCACGCACGCATCCACTGGTCTTTTCTGCCGCCAGGCGACAACACAAGCTCTCCCGAGGCTTAATCTCACCCGCAACCTAGCGGGGTCATCTTCACTGATCAAAGCCTGAGTCTCTGCTTTTCTTTTCCAAGCTCAACAACCAACACATCGCCTCGCGGGGTATATCCTTCGCAGGGTGCCGTAATTTTCGAAAGTCGTTAAGAGCCACGTGACAGCGTCTGTCGTTCAAATCGTAGTAGTAGTCCTTGGGTGAATGATCCAAAGTTGTATCTGAGGAAAGGTGCCAGATAACGGAGAAACCGTCCCGAGACCCCCTAGTAACCAAGGATCCATGCAAACAAGTCTAGGTGAATGTTGGAAAAAGGAAATTCGTCGCTAGAAATCTTTCCTGGCCAAGTACCGGCATTTCCTCGCGGGTCGTGATAGCAACAATGCTGTATCGGCTATGTGCAACCGCTAGAACAATGTGGCATTGCTCAAGTGAAAGATAAAAAAGAGGTTCAAAGATGAATTCGGACGGACCGAAAATGCCATGCAAGTCGAGGCCAGACAAGTGATGCTGGCAAATGCATGCTTCGGATCAAAGAACAAGAACCAAAACAAAGAAATAATTTGAGTGTAAGGATGTAGTGATAGGTTCACGTGTCGGCATCAAAAAGAACAACTGTTAAAAAAGCCAAAGTGTCGGCCATCTCAGACCGACACTCTGGGCCGCTGTTGGGACATACGCCACCAAGGGCATACACCAACAGCTAACTCCAATATTTGTTTAAGCCACGGGAGCGATAGAAGCAACCGGAGGAGCGGGAACGCTTCCAATATCAACCTCCTGAGGAATCTCGCCAACACCGGGAGCGTTCTTCTGAGGGCAGTCACGAGAGATGTGTCCAGCCTCACCGCACTGGTAGCAAGTCTTGCCAGCAGTGTTGAGAGGACCACCGTTAGGAGCAGTGCAGTCCCGAGAGATGTGGCCGAGCTTGCCGCAGGCATAACACTTCATGGCTTGAGCCTGGCAATCACGAGCAAAGTGGTTGGGACCACCGCACTTGTAGCAAGTGGCAGGACGAGGACCACCAGCGAAACCACCACGGCCGTAGCCACCGGGGAAGCCACCACGACCCATGGGAGCACCACGGCCCATAGTAGGACCAACGGGGTTGGGGCAAGCGCGCTATTACAATCAGTTATGTTTCATCATTCAAGATATTACCGTCACATACAGCAAGGTGACCGGGCTGGCCACAGTTGTAGCAACGGCCGCTGGTGCCAGTGCCGCTCAGGCGGAGGGTAGGGCAGTCAGCCTGGACGTGACCAAGACCCTGGCAATGATAGCACTGCTTGGCCTCAGTGGTACGGGGGAGAGGGCATCCGTTGGACTCGTGGCCTTTTGTAAATTAGATTCAAGTCTGA